GATACTAATGAACTTTCATTGAATCTGTCTTCACTCCTCCTATCTACCCTATGTAAAATAGGTTTTATTACCCCATTTTACTGATGAGTGAAATGAGATTTGAAATTTAGTAATTTGTTCAGCTTTTGAAGACATCTACATGTTCCTGGTCATGTCTGTCCCTCATGACCACACCAGGGGGAGGCAGGAAATCAAGGCTTTGTTGTTCAACTCTGTAGGAGAAGATTTGATCATCATGGGTGAAGGGTGTGGATGTGGCACACAATGGAATTTTTCCATGGTTCAGACACATATCATCTGGAGTAGGACATCTCTTATCATGTTTGTAAAAGCCTAGACTGAAAGCCAGTACAGTGGACTACCGATGTCCAGTCACCTAGAAATAGTTCTCAGCCTGAAAAGCATGTCACCATTTTCTAACAAAATGTATGGGAGGAGGCAGTGTTTCTTCAAAGGGTGGACAAGAAAGAACTGCTTGCATCAGAATTACTTGGGAGTTTTTTTTTTAAGGCAGCTAGATCCCTGAGCTACATCCTAAAACAGTTAAGCAAGAATCTCAGATTGTACAATCTCTCTTTTTAGGAAGCTCCCCCAGTGAGTCTTAAAGCATAGTAGAGTTTTAGCACTTCATGGGCAGTGCAAAGAACTGTGGACTAGGAGTCACAGCACCTGCAAGTCTGCCACTCAAAAGCTGCATGACTGTGGTCAAGTTACTTGATACCTCTGCATCTTGTTTTCTCACCTATAAAATGGGCACACAAATTCTCACCCTGCCTTCCTCACAGTGTTGAGCTGATGTGACAATTACCCAATGCATGTGAAAATTCTCTTATGGATTAGGAATCACCAGGACTATGAGAGTGTGCCGGACAGTCTCCTCTGCATGGTCAGCAGAGAGAATCTCTCCCTGCCCCCTTGCTGCAACTGACCTCTGATCCTGTCCTGAGGCCTTGCATGGAGCCTCTCTGATGAAGCAACTTCTGCAAGGGGCTGTGGGCAAGGAACAAGGAGGTATCCAGAGGCTCCAGATTCCCTGATTTGTTGGAATTTAGAATGGATTTTCCTATGGAAAATTGCCAAGGGAAGGTGGGCTAAGTAAAATATAATGATCATAACATATTTTTGCAGTAAAAAATTGAGTAGACTTTTCGGGGAGAGGTGGAAAACCTAACTATCATGCATTGCAGCCCTCTGGTGGAAACTGTGCGTCAGGCTCCAGAATGACTCAGGGATGAATGTTTGGAAGCTGAAGACAATCTGCAGTCTCTTGTCCTGTAGAGCAGAGTCAGCGCTTTTCATAGAGTGCCAGATTCTATATATCCTGCCACATGCTTTATTGTTACAGCACAGAGAAGGCCATAGACAACAGGGCTGTGTTAGCAAATCACACAAATAGGAAATAAACTGTATTTGGCCTTTAGGCTGCAGTTTGCCAACCCCTGCACTAACACAGGGTTTCAAAGGTGGCAGTGGTGATGTGCAGGAGCTAGCTTATATCAGCTTGCAATAGCCAATCGTTAACATCTCTTACAAATTCTGGGTCCATGCCATATTGGTAGCTTGAAACTGGCCATATTTGGAGTAGTTACACCATGGAAATCGGCAAAAGCTGTATATCTACCCTCGCTGCCCCAGCTGTTCACACCATTAGGCATGTGTCCACAAGGACAAGAGTGAGGGTTGGGGTTGGTTGAACCAGACAGTGCATGGGAATATGGGGAGAAAATATTAGATGTAAGTTTCTATTTTATTTAGCCCTTGCAAATTTTTGAATTCTGTGTAAGTTTTATGATGTACCAATGCCCACATTTCAAGGCGTGTCCTAGACTTTGTTTAATTGATTAGGATAACTGGGATCAAAAAATGTTTAGAGTCTACGACTCCTAAAGCTATTTATTATAGTCTATGCTGGATAGCTCATTCCCGAACAGAGTGCAGGGTGAATAAGGGTCTTCTCTTTCTACTCCCAAGACAGCCTTCCTCTTGTCCCATTTGCCTCGCCCTGCCCCAGGACCTTGGATGGGGTAGAAGGAGTGACCAGCTGTGAAAGGAGCACTGGTTGGAATGTTTCCTATGGGAGTTTCTACTGCAGATCAAATGCCCTGAGATTGCCTTTTGAGAGACGTTAAATTTTATGAAGATGAACAGTTATAATGTTCGGTATTATGAGTTGAATTGTGTTCCCTGAAAAGATATGTTGAAGTCCTACCCCACAGTAGCTGAATGTGACCTTACTTGGAAATAGAGTCTTTACAGATACAATCAACTTAAAATAAAGTCATTCGAGTGAGCCCTAATTCAGTATGACTGTGTCCTCATAGGAAGGGGGAAATCGGCATACAGAAACACAGACAGAAGACAACCATGTGAAGATGCCACCAGCTGAGGAACCCCTGGAGCTATCTACAAACTGAAGAGAGGCCTGGAACAGATTCTCTCTCAGGCTCTCAGAATGAACAAACACCTGGAGTTCAGACTTCGACTTCCTGCACCAGGAAACAATAAATTTCTGTTGTTTTAAGCCACCCGGTTTATGGTTCTTTATGGGAGCCCTCACAAACCAATACTTTGGGATTCTCAGGATTAATGCATAAGGGCCAAAACTTTTTCACTAAACATAAAAACTCATGATTACAATTATAATTAGGTGAATGAAATTCAAACCACCTGAGTTTATTTATACACATTTTCCAAAATGCAAGTCATATTACTATAGAAATAAGGAGAAAACCATCATTTAAATAGAAGCCTTCCTTTCCTTTCTCCCTCCCTCCCTCTTTTATTCTTTTCTTCATTTATAACAATCTTAGGAAGTTCCTACAAGTACCAGGCACTGCAGTGAGTTCTTGGGATACATCAGAGAGCAAAGCACTTGTGGGACTTACATGCTAGTGGGAGACACAAACAATAAATATGAGAAGCAAACTATATAGCATGAGAGAGTGAGAAAAATCAGACTGGGCTGTGGTGAGAAAAGGTTGCAGCATTAAGTGAGGTAGCACACATATGTGATCACCACAACCATGCCTTTTGTGACATCTGAGCCTTCTGATGAAGAAGTCAACAGTACACAGGGCCTGAGCTTCGGTAAGGTGTTGATGCATTTGCTATCCTGGTGAAGCCCCATTGGAAGCATGAGTGACCCATGCCAGAGTGACTCACCAACCTGACTTCCAGGTTGGAAGGGGATGGAGCAGGACAGAGCCCAGGCTGTCCATGTCTCCATTTGGCCTGCATGGTTGGCCTCTTCAAGGCCATGGTCAGTAAGCCACATTTCCTTTCTGCTAGTGTGTAAGGGAACCAGAGTCCTCACTGCCACGAGACAGCCCTGACTCAGAGACTAATTTGAATAACTGTGTGTCTTTGTCATGAAAACAATTTTGTGATATTATGAAGAAGACATGTCTTCTTCTCCAAAGTATCAATGTTACCTGGTCACATTTTTTTCTTTTATATAGTGATACATAATATTTCACATATTTGTGGCACATATGTGAATATTTATTACATGCACAGAATGTGTAATGATCAAGGTAGTGTCTGAAGTATTCATTGCCTTGAATATTTACCATTTCTCCATGTTGGAAACATCCTCTAAATATACTATGTACTTTTTCGTCACTCTGCTGGTGTTAATCGCCATCATCATCAGGATCAGAAACGTAAGCAGCCAACCTTGTGAGAGCTCTTCCCATGCATGTCACCTCACTTGAGCCCATGTGCCGGGGGTGCTGTCCCTACTCCTTCTTTATGGCTTAGTTTTGTCTTCCTGCCCACCACACACACACCTTTCTCCTGGGATTAGCTCTCTACCTCTTCTTGAGGAACATCACTGGCCTCGTGGGATACAGTTTTGGAGAGAGTGTTCATCAACATGCTCTGCCTTTCATTGCCAAAGGAGTTGACACATGACCCAAACTAGGGCAGTCACATGCTCTGCTTGGAATCTCAATCTTTTCCTAACTGACAAAAAGCATGATTGGCTCTTACCCAACTGAGTGGTGGGACCAGCGTTTTCTGGGTTCTGTCATTTTTGGCTTGCCAGCAATCTCTGACTCTTATTCTTGAGCATGTCTTTCCATTTTGAAAGTTACTTCACATGACAGGCAGAATAATGGCGCCACGAAAATGTCCACATTCTAATCCCAGACCCTATGAATTGTTACCTTACATAGCAAAAGGGACTTTGTGATTAAAGTTAAGCCTCTTTGAGATGGGAGAGTATCCGGGATATTGAAGTGGGCCTGATGCAAATCTCAAGCGTTCTTACATGTGAAAGAGGAAGGCAGGAGAGTCAGAGTAAAGCAGTGTGAGAAAAACCGAATCAGTGAAAATGGGAGGGGACCACTAGCCAAGGAATGAAGGTGGCCTCTGGAAGCTGGAAAAGGCAAGGAAATTGACTCTTCCCTAGAACCTCCCAAAGCAATGCAATCCTGCTGATACTTTGATTTCGGCCTGGTGAGACACATTCCAGACTGACCTCCATAATTGCAAGATAAGACGTTGCATTGTTTAAACCACCAAGTTGGTGGTAATTTGTTACAGCAGCAGTAAGAAATAAATATTCCCAATACTCTTCTAGAAAGCTACTTTTGTAGTATACTTTTTGCTTAAATAAGCTAGAAGTGATTATTATTGCTTGTAATAATAATCTAAAGAGCTAAAACTAATAAACTAATTTCCAAGCCTCGGTCCCCTGTCTCCACCCCCTCACTCTGTTTCCAGGCCCTGATTTCCATTTGGCCAGCCTTCCTATGCCCCATTATGAGGATCTGAGCCCTGCTTAGTGATATGACAGTTTCCTTGTTAACAGCCCTCCCAGGCACTGACTGGCTGGTCTCCTATCATCTGACCCAGATTCCTTGTCTTTGTGCCTTTCCACAGGTCAGGTCACCCTGCTCCTTATCTGGGACCCAACTGCCCCTTTTCTGTTATCACTTTGCTGGATGGTGGCTGTTGCATTTCTTTATTGCACATAGTGCCTTAAACATGGAGTCAGCCACTTCTTCCCCAGGATCAATGCCCTCAGCATCTACCAAACCCCAGTAGGAAGGACTGATTGCATCCAGATGCTCCTTCCTGTTGCAAGTATCACACTCAGACTGGCCATATCATAGCATAGGACACACATGTGGATGTCTGATGGTTCAGGGTAGCAGTATACAAGCAGAAGCTGGGCTCTTTCCAACCCAGAACTTTTTAATTAAACAATATTCTTGCTATTTCCTAAAAACACAAATCCTTAAAGTGTGAATGAGAAATGAAACACACTGACATAATGGTTAGTGAGCAGGATTTTGGTTTTTATACAATTAGGTCAATTACGGAGGAAGGCATTCGATGGGGCAGTTTCCTAATCACTGACCTCACTGGGGCTCATTTCAGCTTTGCAAACTGGATGAAATAAAAATTCAGTGTGTTTCTTGTGCTCATGTTTATCTGTCACTCCAACAGGTTCATTACAATTGCAGGAGGTGCAGACAAACCATCTGGGGTGAACCATTGACTCCAGCAAGTTCTGGGAGCCCACCTGAGTCCTATGAAAGATGAAGGGCCAGCGTGCTGATTCCTTTTGATCAGCCAGCTTCATCAGTTTCTTCTTCTGTGAGGTAAAAGAGATTAATTATATAGACAGGCTTTGAGAGGGAGAAAAACCTAGTACATGTGCTTATCCTCCAAGCCTTTACATGGGAGAGGAGGAAAGGAGAGAAGGCAGATGGTCCTTGGGGAAGACAGTATGTCAGCCTTGGTACTGGAATTTAAGGGATGATAAGTAATCATGACTTCTTTTCTATGCCCTCTTGTCCCCCAAATTAAAAATAAATTGAGAGAGATGTAAGAGTCAGATGGACACCAAAATCTCAGCTCTACAGTTTTTAAAGTTAGGTTAGAGGATAAGGCTTAGATCTGCATCCAACTGGGCTTCTTAAGATTTCTCCCCTCAAGTGAAAGAATGCTCCCTCCAGGACTAAATTTGCAGAGCAGACACACTGCCCTCTGAGTGCTCCCTCACACCTTCCTACCCTGCAGCAGACACCAGGGTCCTGGCCCAAGTGTGCTGCCTGCCACAGGAAAGGCCACAGCAGGAGGGGAGCACCACCTATACAGAGCCAGGGCCCATGAGCCTGGGAGAGGAGAAAGGGTCCTCAGTTTCTCATTGCCTCCCTGCTGTGTGGAGTCCCTCCTTCCCTAGAAGAGGCAAGGAACCAGCAAAGAAGGTATGGGACTCTGTTATATTGGCCAAGATAAGAATTTTCAGGAAAGTGAGAGGCATTGAGGATCTTGACCTTTTACTTTGGGGTAGCAAAAGGCACAGGAAATTGAGCTAGAACTCTCACCTTCAGCTGAAGGGATGGACAACTTTGGTCTTTATCCTTGTCACAGTAGACAAAACTCCTCTTTAGAGACCCCCAAGAGAATAGGACTTCCTTTCTCTGCAGAGGCTGAGCTCAAGGATGTGGGTAACATAAAGAAGATCTTGGAAAAAGACAGTCAGAACCCACATGAGTGGGTTCTCAGGGGAAGGAAAGGTCTTTCCTGTCTGCTGGGTTTCAGGCCTGACATGCAGTCCTTCTCCTCTTGACTCTGTGGTCTACATCTCCCTCCATTACTCTGGTTTAAGCCTCCTCTTGTTCCAACCTAAGTGTCTGATTCCTTCTTTTTTCCCCGCCCTTCCAGAAAGAGTTCTTTCAGATCTAGTCATTGCTAGAGATCTTCCATATGATGCCCAAATCTCTGAAGCTTCCCACTTCCACCACCTGCTGGAGCTGGGGCATGGTCTAGCATCAGCTGAGCCCACCTCGAGGGAGGCCTTACCCTGCTGGGTGGGGACAGAAAACACAGCCTCAGAAACTGAGAATCACCTGGGCATATGTAGCTTTTATCTGGAACTGCTATGAGATTCCCAGAGTCCAGGACCAGTACTTTGTGATCCTGGTCATGAATGCTGAATTTCTTCAGGTTTAAGTTCTTCAACTTTGGACCTAGATCAACATAACCAGATATCAACACTTAACATTGAAAATGGAAGACTCAGCCCTTTCTTCCCCACATCTGAGGCCACCAGCCCCAGCTCTCCACCCTGCCTGTGGGCTCAGACATCACAGCCACTGAATATTTCTTCCACTCTGGGACTTGCTGTCTTTCTGGGATGAGCAATTTAGCATTCTGTGCAAGCACATGGGTTCCAGATTTGGACAGGTGGATTAAAATCCAAGCTCTGCTGTAGGACAGAGGACACGTTACTAAATCTCTCCCAATGCCCATGTCCTCATCTGTGAAATGAGAGTAAGAACTGCACCTACTTGAGAGAGGAGTTATGAGAACTAAAATGCTCACTCAAGTAAGTAGGACTTAGCCTGACCTAAGACCTATAAAAAGGACTTTTTATAATCATTGTTTTTCTTAACTCTCTTATACGCACCCTCTGACTGGGGACATCATTCTATTAGCAGTGCCTAGAGTGGGACAGATGCCCACACTGGCCAGGCTAAGGGAGTAGTGATGGAAGAGTTGGGAGGGGTGGAGGCAGGAATCCCCCAGGAGCCCAGATCGGTGCAAGGGTTAGCTGGAGCATTAGCGGCTCCTTTGAAAAGCCACAAATCTTGCACCTGGCCCTGGAGGAACATCTTCTAGTGGCAGGACGAGCCACAACAGTGCTCAGAGGGTCTTAGGGTGTGGGCTTCTAGCAACTCATTCAGGCCAGACCTGCCTAGAGTGGGGTCTTAAAAGGGAACCTTTCTTCCTGGCCTCTGATTGGACAGGTGACCCTCAATTCAGCAAGGAGCTCAAGCACCTGTTTGATAAAGGACATGTGACCCCAGGCTGGGCCAGTGACTGTTAGGAATGGGTGAGTGGCTGGAAAATGGCAAATGTCACAATATGATAACACAGTAACCACCACACTATGTGGAGCTATAATATGGGTATCTGTGATAGACAATTCTAATGTAGAGAATAATTCTAAGATATTACTTTCCTCCCATGCCATAAGCATGCAGCCACACCCTGGGTTTCTCACTGTGGAATGTCCTCCTCGTCTCCTCATGCCCAAACAGTGGAGAGGACTCCTCCTGTAACACTGGCTCTCCAGCCACCTCCTCCTACAGCCCTCCTCGGCCCTTGCACACAGGTATTGGTGTCCTTGTCTTGCTCTCCCATAGCACTGTGAGCTCTCCAGGAGCAGGCTCCCTGTCTGACTCACCTGTGATCCTCCACCTCCCACCCTGTAGTGCCCCAAACATCGTTGACACTCGGTGCCTATGGAAGAGATAACTGGCCCCAGGCGAGATCCTAAGTGATACGGGGTCAGATGAGGTCCAACAGTCTCAGCCCTGCATTACATCAGAATCTCTTCAGGAACTTTTCTGGGCCCACCGAGACATTCTGAGTTCATGGGCAGATGCAGGTTGACTAAATGTTATTGAGCTAGCTGAACTCTAAGCCTTTCCATTTCCCACACTTTAATGTATAATAAATCACCTGCAAACTATGGCTCAGTAGGTCTGGATGGTGCCAAGGCTCTGCCTTTCTGATGCACTCCCAGAATTATGGGTACTGCTGGCATGGCCTAGGGCGGCGGCTCTCAACCCTGGTGCACACTGGGAATTACCTGGTGGGTGGCATTTTAAGACCATGGATACCTGGGCCTCGAACCCCTGAGATTCTCATTCAGTTAGTCCAGAGTGAGACTGGAAAATGCTATTTTTAAGAAGCTGCTTTTCTAGCATCATTTTACTTCGTACCTCTTAAGTGTTTCTTAAACCTGATTTTTTTATTTCCGCTTGGATCCTATCACAGCCTGACATAGGCTCTCCGCGTCTTGCATGCAGACTAGTTCACTATCCTCTTAAGTGGCGTTCTTGCTCATCATCTTGACCCCAAATCTTTCTCAAGGCCGCTCTGAAGGTGTGAGTGGTTTTAAGGTGCTGGCAGTTGTTTTCTATAGGGAAGTGGTACTCCCACAGCAGCAGTAACATCAGTGCTAGTGCCAGTTTTAAGGCAATAGTAATTTTCTGTAGGGCAGTAGCTCTCAGACTTTTAAGGTGTACCACAATAACCTGGAAGGCTTGTTAAAGCAGCCCCTAAAGCCTCAGTCCCCTGAGTTTCTGATGCAGAAGGTCTGAGGTGGGGCCTGGGAATCTGCATTCCTAACACTGTTCTAGGAGCTGATGCTGCTGACGGTTTGAGGACCAGACTTTGAAAACCACTCCCCCAAAATTTGAAGGAGATCCCAGCCCTGACGAGACGTCAGGACAGGCCCAACAGACAGGCTTGTGTGCCTGGAATCTCCAGGTTGCACCTGGAGTGGACACAGTGCAGATCCAAAGCCAGCAATGGTGTAACTACAAACAACCAAAACATCAAAGGTAACTCCGGCGGCAGTGGTGGAGGCAGTGACAGCAGCCTCTCCCTACTGTACCAGGCACCCTTACACACCTGGTCCCATTTGGGCCTCTCTGTCATTTTACTGACAAAGTGAGTCTCAGTATTCACCATTAGCCTGCACTATTTGGGCTGAGACTGAGGTCTCCTGACTCTGTCCTGAGAAGAGGAGGCGATGGGAGCCTTAAGCCTGAGTCGGGCAGACAGACGTTATAGTACCTTTAAATTTCCACATCTGTCACTTACTACCAGTGTCACCTGGCGCAGGGAATCTCCACTGTCTGTCTCAGTTTCCACACATGAACAGTGGTGATATTAACAATTTCCTATTGGGGTGTTGTGGTGTTCATATGGCAGCATGAGAGGAAGCTTCAGGCTCTGAAGACTTCACCTTGAGCCCTTGGTGGCGTGGGTGTCCCTGTACCTCCACTGGCCACATGGCTGTTTGTCTTCAGTGCTGGGAGGAGGTCTGTGTCACCAGCCTCTTGACTATGGTCAGAAGAGGTACCTGGAAGGTTCCCAGGCACAAACTCTTCCTTTCCCTGTGCCTCTTGGCAAGTGAGCATCACTTGTCACTCCCTAGGCCCATCTTTCCCAGAGTCTCTCCTGATGGGATCTGCTTCTGCAAAGGGAAGATCTCAACCCCATCCAGCACCATTAGGTATCCCCAGTCTACAATTCTACCGCCTCCTAAGTGGCACCATTCCCCATCCCCACCCTCGCACCCCAGCCACCCCCATCACCTCACCTGCAGCCTTACTTGAGTGAACAAAACTCATGAAGGGGAGGCTTGGGTCTGGCTCCAGGGGGGCTTCCAACTGGGTCTGCAGTCAGAAACAGTGAGATTAGCACAAGCAATTGGGATTTTCCAAGGATTTAGGGGTATGAGGGACCATTTAATTTTCTCTTCTGTGTACTTGCTGAGAAATACTAGAGCAGCATGATAGTAATGACATTAAATCATAACTTTCCTCGTCAAAAACATAGAACAATAAAGATGAACTGGCTCTGGGGTTTGGCCTCTGGCATGTTACAGGCCTCTCCCTTCACAACCTAGCAGACAGTTACTTGGGTCAAAAGCCTCCTCCTATTGTCCGCCATGGGCAACACCCAAATTCGTTCCTCATAGAATACTCAGATGCCCATGCCTGGGTCATTTTTCCAACCCAGCTTCAGAGAGTCACTTCTCATCGAAGGCTTCTCTTCCACCTGTTAAGGTTGGGAGGGAAGAGGAAGGATATGCAACCATCTAGTTGAAAAACAGGACGTTAAAGCCCAAATCTGTAGGTGAGAATGATCCTTTTATCCACCACCTGATGCGCCTAAACACTGCAGCAAAGTTTTCTTTTTCCTTCCAGAATTTCTCTTGTCTAGTTATTTGTCCAGGGAAGTTTGAAAGCTCACTTATTGTGCAAGGTCAGCAGGAAACAGCTGGGTCTGTACACAGCACCTAGCGAAGTCCACTTTAGGAATTACACTTTGGCCCTGAGATGGATTTCCACAAGAACCTTACCTTCTGAGAGGCACTGGGGTTCATCTCTTTCCAAGTCTTCAGAGCCCATTTTCACTCCTGAGTTCTCCTCCACAAAGGACATTTTCAACGTGAGTTATTACTCAACAGAAAATGAAATGAAGCGCAAGACCTAAGGAGACAGACAGGGAACCAGTGACGACATCTTCTGATCCCAGGACACCTTTCAGGATATCCGTAGTGCTGAACAGGCCACTGGCCTTGCTCTCTAGTTAGAAATGCTCACTGCAACCAGAAAGGCCCCAAGGGGCCAGACCATGCTCTCCTGTCTATCACGCCTTCAGAGCAGAAATTTTCCAAACTGAGTCACAGTGCTAACACTTGGGGTGCAATAACAATTTTGTGGATCTTGGCATTTTATAAAAATGAAATAAAATTTTAAAAGTGCATTGTTCTAGTCTTGGGGCTGGCATACTATGGCCCTTGGCCAAATCTTGTCCCTGCTTGTTTTTTTAATAAAGTTTTATTGGAACACAGTCATGCCCTTGTTTGCACATTATCTCCGGCTGCTTTGAGACTACAATAGCACGGTTGAGTAGTTAAGAGATCATCTGGCCAGCGAAGCCTAAAATACTTGCCATCTGACACCTTCTGTAAAAGTTTGCTGAGTCTCTGCAGTAGCCTGATCTTGGTCTAACAAAAAGCAGTTGCTCTGCAACCTCTTTTCATGAAAACCTAAGCCACCAAAAGTCCCAGGAGGCTCAATCTCTAATATCTTAGGATTAGATTGCTTCATTGGGAGGAGTTGGTGGAGATATATTTATATATACAAATTTTGCATGCCCTATCTCAGTTGACAAGGATGTTTTCACAACATCAGTCCAGGCCAACATAGGACAGAAATGGAGCAAAAACTGGTATTCCTATCTTACAGATAAAAAATCTGAAGTTAAGTGATTTGTTCAAAACCACATCACTTTTAAGATTGCAGAGATAGAGATAGGCAGTCTGTGTTGAAACCCAATCCTTCGAGAATGGTTTAGGAGTGAGACAAAGGGAACTAAATTGTTCATGCAAAAAAATAGAAATGACAAGGAAGGCCAGGTGTGGTGGCTCAAGCCTGTAATCCCAGCACTTTGGGAGGCCAAGGCGGGTGGATCACAAGGTCAAGAGATCAAGACCATCCTGGTCAACATGGTGAAACCCCATCTCTACTGAAAATACAAAAATTAGCTGGACATGGTGGTGTGTGCCTGTAGTCCCAACTACTCTGGAGGCTGAAGCAGAATTGCTTGAACTCGGGAGGCGGAGGTTGCAGTGAGCCGAGATTGTGCCACTGCACTCCAGCCTGGCACCTGGTGACAGACTGAGACTCTGTATCAAGGAGAAAAAAAAATGACAAGGAAGGGCTTCGGGACTCAACAGTAAGAACAGTGAGAAGAAGTAGGTGGGTAGAGCTGATGGGTTGTTAAGGACAGGGATGTCTACTATTTGGTCTTAACCTGTTTGTGGTTTGGCAGTAACCCTGAATACATGGAGTATAATGGCCTCTGTCATGTTGGGGTGAATCAAATGACACAGAAAATTGGAGGCACTTGACAGAGAATTTGGCAGCCAGGACATCAGAGCAAGAAATGTCTTGTAGAAATGTAGCTATCCAAAGACATAAAGATACTGCAGTGCTGCTGAAGGACAGAAGGATGCTCACAGGCTGGAGGACCTGGAGCCATCCCTGAGGGGTACTCATGAAATCTGCCACCTGTATTAAGATAAATGCAGGGAGTTTTCACAGAACTCCCTAAAGAAGCAGTGCATCTGGTTATCTGAAATCGATTTCTTTACACCCAAAATCTATTTCCAAGGACAAATATTTTCTAGATTCTGAAGTCAGTCTACTGAGTGAAGGGACAAGCATTTCCAGGATTTACAGGTTTCCTAAGTTAGTGTCTGCCTGGCCCCCTGGCAATGCCCTGCTTGTTGGCGGAAGCTCTCCTGGGAGAGAGCAGGCTGCTACTGGGGCTGAGAGCAAGGTATTCTGTGCAGGTCTTAGAGATCATATTTAGAAATTCAGATGTGCTTTCAGTGGAGATTACAAGCAAGGGGACTAGATGGCCCGATGTTACTCTACTTCCCCATCCATGCCTGTTGGCCTTGAAAGCCAGCACAGGAAGATCACCTACCCGGGCCAGGGATCCTCATAGTCAGTGGCTCTGTCTTGGACTCCTGGAACTCTGCTTGCCTTCAGTTCTCAGGACCCCTTATTTAAAGGAGAGGTTTTGTACTCATTCAGAATCAACGATTTGGGAGTGGCTTGCAAATACAATACAGTATTCCTTTAGACAATAATAAATAACATCCTCAGTTATCAGTCATCATTCATTTCCTGCTGTTTTCCATGCCAAGGCTATAAACAAATTCCTGCGGGGTAGTGCCACTCTGCTAAGGGCATGCCACACCCATTCAACACATTTCGAGGCACTTGGGATAGATCAGGTGGTTGCCAGTCCAGTCTAATAACAGAGGTATAGAAAAAAGACAAGAGTGAAGGAAAGAAGAAGTGCAGAGCTTAGTCAGTCAAATGAGCATGGGAGGTTCAGGGAAGCCCTTGTTTTCTTGATAGTTCTTTGCCCTAATCCCAGAGTTTATGCAAGTGGAGTCCCCATCTTCGAGAGAAAAATGTCCTCCTTTCATGTCTCCTTCCAGGTAAACTCTGCGATGTACTAACACTGCCCTATACCTCTTCTCTGGGGCCTCTTCTTCACAAGTGACATACAAAGGGACCTTCCTTGATCAAGCCCTCCAAGGACTAGCTTCCCTCTGCAGCCCATTAGCTATTTACTTGCACTTCCATTGCATTTGCCTTTGCCAGTTACAGTGTATGGCTATGTTTTACAATGTCACACACAGCTAGTACTGTAGGCATTGTATGAAGGAAAATCCACATAACGAATTAAGGTAATAGCTTCTGGACCACCACCAGCAGCACGTCAATAACACAGGAACAACAGTCCAGCACAATAGTTAACCACAGTGCTCTCACTCTGCCAGATCTAGGCTCAGTCCATTTTTATTTTTCTCCAACCAAATCCTTTGATGACCCTGGGAGTAAATACCATCCTTCCTGTTTTACAGACAAAAGGCAGTGCAGTTTAGAGAGGATGCACAATTTACCCAAGATCACATCCTTAATTGCTGGGAGAACTATAACACTATAAACCAAGCCTTTCTGAGCATGCTGCAGCCTCATCTCTTAAATTTGACTGAAGACTGTGGTCTCATCTTCTAGCCTTTCTTCACATACACATTTATAACATACAAATAAAGGAATGTGTCTGACAAATCATTTTGTAAGATACATTTCCTACTTAATGCATCTTGCCTTTTCTACTCAATATGATATCTCAAACATCATTCCATTTCATCAATACTTTTCTACAATAGTATATCTTATTACTGCAAGGTATTCCATTATTTGTCTAAAGACCTGACAAAATGTTATTCCCTTGATGGCTAGAATAAAAATTCCTTATTTGTCTGTTAAATTCCTAATAAGGACACACATATCTTTAGAGAACTTCTGGACAAACCTCTTGGGATGGGATGAGATTGTGAAGGAAAAGACGAAGTAAAATTTTTAAAAAGTGAAAGCAACCACGAACTTATCTTCTAAGAAGGTGGTTGGGTTAAGTGTGGGCACTTCTGTGGTGCTGATTTCTGGAATGAATGAGGATGTGAATGCGGGGGCAGCTGACCATTGCTCTCAGGATGGGGAAAATGGAGTTGCGGGGGAGTGTGCCCTGGTGAGGTAGTTGCAATATAGACTTGTAGAGATCTCACCGAGTGGTTCCAGAAAGGAAGGGAAATGAGAGAGAAGAGTTTGTCTGTAAAAGGGGGAGCTATGTAGTGTAGTGTAGAGTATTTACAGTAAGCTCTCGCCTTTATTGCCCCATATAAAACCTCAATAAGTTCAATTATCTGTACCAATACTGGTATACAAGGGACACTGTTTGTAGGAGGTTGAAGCTCAAGAGAAAAGGGACAGCTAACTTGAATGTCACATATGGACAGATCACAGTTTAATCCTCAGTTTTAAACTTTTGAGTTATTTCCACTTTTATACTATTATATGTAAGTTTTATATATATACATACACACACACACACACACACACACACACACATACACATATATATGGCCTAAAGTGCCAAAGGGGATATCTTTCATGTAAATAAATCAACTGCAAATCGTAGTCACTCTGTGCCCTGCCTTGTGCTGTGCAGATACAAAGGAAACAAAGGCCTTTCTCCTTTCCCAATACACATATAACACACATAACATATATGTGTGTGTGTGTATGATATATATATGTATGTATAAATTCTGTGTTTAATATGCTCTTTTAATATTTCTGAACAGATTAGAACCCACTGAGATTCCACCTTTAAAGAAATTCAAGTGGCCACTTGACAGCAATGCCAGATAAGCTGACATGAGGAGACAGACAGCACGGGCTGCCAAGCATTCTCTTTATTAGACAACCAGCACCTACCCAGTGTGGGAAACCAGGGTCCTGGTGACTGTGCAGGGCTGGGGCTGCTGCTCCTTGCGTGACACAGCAAATATGGCATGTGTCCTCAGGTCACTGACCATCCTTTCTGATACAAGATATTTTGGCATTTTGGACCCTCACCTGAAGCTTCTGGCAGCTCTGAGTTGGTGATGGGAGGAAGGGGTCTTGTTCCATCACCCACAAGTTATTTCAAGAATTTATACCAATTTTTTGTTGTTATTATTTGGGCCATAGGAAGTGAGTATTAACAGAGGGAAAACTCTCAAGAGAATGTCCCACACAGTGTGGTGGTTGCTGTGCTATCACATTGTCTTATTTCCTATTTTCCAGCCATCCACCCATCCCTGACAGTCACTGGCTCAGCAGAGGGCCTTCTCCCTTCCATCAAACAAATGCCTGAGCTCCTCACTGAAGAGTAAACCACCTGCCAGTAGTGAAGTGTCCCTGCTATGATCCCTCTCTAAGCAAGCCTGGTCCAAATGAACTCCTAGGAGCCCACACCCTGGGGAATCTCCTGGCTACTGTTGTGGCTGGTCCCGCCTGCTGGAAGAGGTTCCTCCAGGGCGAGATGCAAGCCCTGTGGCTTTTCCAAGAAGCCCCTGCAGCATTAGCTCAGACTTGTACCATACTGGACTCCTGGGGGCTTTCTGCCTCCATTTCTTCCTTCTTCACTCCTCCATTATTGCACCCTTGGCCTAGCCCATGCAAGAATCCATCCCATCCTAGGTATTTCTGATGGCATGATGCCCCCAGTCAGCAGGTGCAGAAAGGATGTTTAATAATAACAACATCAATAACAATTTTTTATTTTCTCAATAGTCAGGTATCTTGTTAAATGCTGTTCATTGTTAACTTTTTTAATTCTCAAGAACCACTATTAGGTGAGCATTATTCCAATCCTCACATCATCCATGAAAAGTATGAGGTTTTGGCGGGGGGGAGAGGGCGGGCCCGGCGCGCGGTAGCGCGGGCCCCTCAGAGCACAATGGCCAGAGCCGGTGGCAGATCCCGAGCCCCACCCAGTGTGGAGCGCGCGGCGAGCCCGGTCGCAAGCTGAGCGCCTCCACCCACCCAGCGCGCCGACTCCCTGCCATGGACTCGGGGAACTGCCGCGGCGGCCAGGGCTACTGGGACGGCGGCGAGGCCGCAGGCGCTGAGGGGCCGGCGCCGGCGGGGACGCTGAGCCCCGCGCCGCTCTTCAGCCCCAGCACCTACGAGCGCCTGGCGCTGCTGCTGGGCTCCAAAGGGCTGCTGGGCGTCGGCAACAACCTGCTGGTGCTCGTCCTCTACTACAAGCTCCAGCGACTACGCACTCCCACCCACCTCCTCCTGGTCAACATCAGCCTCAGCAACCTGCTGGTGTCCCTTTTCGGGGTCACCTTTACCTTCGTGTCCTGCCCGAGGAACGGCTGGGTGTGGGACACCGTGGGCTGCGTGTGGGACGGGTTCAGCGGCAGCCTCTCCGAGAAGAGTTCCAGTCACAAATGCATATGTGATGCATTTTGACATTTACTGCTAAGATGAAATGCAGAAATGAAACCACACATCCGTTTTAGTATTCTCAGATGTGATTAGATGTACTTTCTCATGTTTTTATGCTACTGACTTACAAGAAAAAAATTTTTTTAAGGGTAACCGTTAAACAGCGAGGACCTGCAACTTCAGAGCTTCTGGGATAAACTGGAACATCAGAAGGACAGATTTTATTACAGCATAATCACACCTTATTTCTTTCATCAGCAGTTGTCACCAGACGATTTTACTTCCTAGAATGGCAGACAATCTTCCCACAGAGTTTGATGTGATTATAATAGGGACAGCTTTGCCCGAATCCATTCTTGCAGCTGCATGTTTAAGAAGTGGTCAGAGGGTTCTACATGTTGATTCAAGAAGTTACTATGGAGGAAACTGGACTAGTTTCAGCTTTTCAGGATTGCTATCCTGGTTGAAGGAGTACCAGCAAAACAATGACATTGGGGAAGAAAGTACTGTTGCATGGCAAGACCTGATCCATGAAACAGAAGAAGCCATTACTCTGCGCAAGAAGGATGAAACTATTCAACCTACAGAAGCTTTTTGTTATGCCAGTCAGGTTGTGGAGGAGGGCATTGAAGAGATTGGTGCTCTGCAGAAAAATCCTTCCTCGGGGGTGTCTAGTACCTTCACTGAAGTTCTGGATTCTGCATGCTTGCCTGAAGAAAGCCAGTCATCACACTTTAATAGCGATGAAATACCTGCCAAACACACTCAGAAAAGTGCTAGAGAGGTTTCCCTAGAAGTAACTGATGTAGAGGAATCAGTGGAGAAAGAAAAGTATTGTGGAGATAAAACTTGCATACACACAGTTTCAGATAAAGATGGAGTTAAAGATGAAAGCATATCTACAGTAGAAGACAATGCCAATCAAACAAACAGAAATAGGATTACTTGGGCCGGGTGCGGTGGCTCATGCCTGTAATCCCAGCACTTTGGGAAGCCGAGGCGGGTGGATCCCGAGGTCAAGATATTGAGACCATCCTGGTCAACATGGTGAAACCCCGTCTCTACTAGAACTACAAAAGATTAGCTGGGCATGGTGGCGCATGCGTGTAATCTCAGCTACTCGGGAGGCTGAGGCAGGAGAATTGCCTGAACCCAGGAGGCGGAGGTTGCGGTGAGCTGAGATCACGCCATTGCACTCCAGCCTGGGTAACAAAAGCGAAACTCCGTCTCAAAAACAGAAAAGAAAAGAAAAGAAATGAAATAGGATTACTTACTCTAAAATAGTTAAAGAAGGAAGGAGGTTTAATATTGATTTGGTATCAAAACTGCTGTATTCTCAAGGATCGCTAATTGATCTTTTAATCAAATCAGATGTTAGTCGTTACCTAGAATTTAAAAATGTCACTAGGATTCTTGCATTTCAAGAAGGAAAGGTAGAACAAGTGCCTTGCTTTGTTCTAAAGACTAAAGCAGATGTATTTAATAGCAAGGAACTTACCATGGTTGAAAAGAGGATACTAATGAAATTTCTTACGTTTTGTTTAGAGTATGAACAACATCCTGATGAATACCAAGCTTTTAGGCAGTGTTCATTTTCAGAGTACTTAAAAACTAAAAAATTAACTCCCAACCTTCAACATTTTGTACTGCACTCAACTGCAATGACATCAGAATCATCTTGCACTGCAGTAGATGGCCTTAATGCAACTACAAACTTCCTTCAGTGTCTTGGACAGTTTGGCAACACTCCCTTTCTATTTCCCTTGTATGGCCAAGGAGAAATGCCCCAGTGTTTCTGTAGGATGTGTGCAGTTTTTGGTGGAATCTATTGTCTTCGTCATAAAGTACAATGCTTTGTAGTCGACAAAGAATCTGGAAGATGTAAAGCAATTATAGATCACTTTGGTCAAAGAATAAATGCTAAGTATTTTATTGTGGAAGACAGTTACCTTTCTGAGGAAACATGCTTAAATGTGCAGTATAAGCAGATCTCTAGGGCAGTACTCATTACAGACAAGTCTATACTAAAGACAGATTCAGATCAGCAGACTTCCATTTTGATAGTTCCTCCAGCAGAACCAGGAGCTTGTGCTGTTCGGGTCACAGAATTATGTTCTTCAACCATGACATACATGAAGGACACCTATCTGGTACATTTGATGTGTTCATCTTCTAAAACAGCAAGAGAAGACTTAGAATCAGTGGTGGAGAAATTATTCACTCCGTATGCTGACACAGAAATAAACAAGGAAGAACTTACAAAGCCAAGACTCTTGTGGATTCTTTATTTTAATATGAGAGATTCCTCAGGCATTAGCAGAAGCTCATATAATGGCTTACCTTCCAATGTTTATGTCTGCTCTGGGCCTGACTGTGGACTGGGAAATGAGCATGCTGTCAAGTGAGCTGAAACACTTTTCCAGGAGATCTTTCCAAGTGAAGATTTCTGCCCTCCACCTCCAGATCCAGAAGACATTATTTTTGATGGTGATGATAAGCAGCCAGAGGTTCCTGGAACCAGTAATACAATAATAGCCAAACTAGAATCCTCTGAGGAAAGCAAAAACCTAGAAAGCCCAGAGAAGCACCTTCAAAATTAGAAAAGAACTATCTGGAAATGCTGTTTTGGACCTTTACCGTGGGGTCAGAATATTCTCATTTAAAGAAGAGTTTCCCATGTGAGTAATTAGAAGTAGTGATATAGGATGAATGCTATGCAGATGTTGTCTAACTCTCTTTCAGACATTCAGCATTGAATATCTTTGTTAACTTATCAATAAGTGATTTATTGATTATTGAACGTTTTGTTTAGAATGGGCTATGTGATCCAAAGTCTTAAAGCAGAGTTAGCTTTATTTTAGTATTGGGTATGTATGTAAGGGTTCCATGTTAGCAACTCAGCTTCAAGGTAACGTTGTATTTGCTAATGATCTTCAGATTTTATCTTTGTCTACAGAATAGTTAGTAATACCCAACTAATATTTTAATTACTTTTACAGCTATTAGAGTTGCTGCAGGCTGTTTGAATAGTGAAACACACACAAATGGTAAATTATGTGGATCTTTTGCATATAATATAAATATATAGACATGGTGGTAGGAATAGCAACTAATACAGATGTCAATATGATAATAAAATACGTTTGTTTGTAATTGTTAAAAAAAAAAAAAAGAAAAGTATGAGGTTTGGAAGGGTTTTTAAAGTTGCTCTATGTCCCACACTAATAAGAGAGGGAGCTCAGATTTGTAACCAAGTCTGTCTACTTCCAGAGCCCAAGTTCTGATGCTCTCAGCAGTCTCTACTGTGACAAACCCAACGCTTTCTAGGGCTAATGGCAAGTGATTCAGAAAATAATTTTTCTAGTGTTCTACCCTTGAATGCCTCTCGCTCACATTCACCTCAGAGTGGAAGGGTGTTTCCCTGGGAATCTGGTAAAACTGCTCAGTCTTCATGCAAAGGGAGGAGAAAATTGTGCTTTTTGCTTTCATGTTTCTTCCTTGGCCCAAAAGATAGAAAACCCTATCATTGGCACATACTGGGGAGAGGATCTTCAGGCATGTGGCTTTGACCCTTGCCCTCTGACTGTGGGGCTGGGCATCCTGAGGACAGGTGTGTCGCCTCCTGCCACTGCTCTCCTCCTGGAAGTACCCTGCACCAACCCAGATCCTGTTCTCTGGAGGTCTCCACACAAATGTGGGCTAGTAATTCTCGGAATGACCCTATGCTCTGCAGACTAAAACTCTTTCTTGGACAGCTAATCCCATGATCTGGCCTCAGTGGACTGAGTAATAGGGAACCCACCTGAGTATAGATTCATGACATTCTATAGTCCAATATTCAACTAATTGGAGCACTATATAATAAGCAAAAATTTGATTCCTGCCTCCTGCAGCCTGCATTATCATAAGATGCTGTTATTTCTTATGATTTGTCCAGGCATGTAGAGCAGCAGAGACAGAAAGGCTAATTCTCTGCTCTAGGACTAGCCATGCTGAAGAGGCTGGACAGTGCTCAGGGAACTGATCCAGCTGCAGATGCCCAATAGAAACATTCAGACTGATGCCCAGAGCAGAGTCCAAAGGAGTATGGCAATGTATTGTCTTGGTAAGTATTCAGTTGGGGAAGATGGGAGGGGTGCCATACAGGTATGAGCAAATCCCATTAGGTGGGAGGAGCACAGTGAGAAATCTGGGTCAAGTAGTAGCCACTGCATGCTCCAGATAAGCATACAGTCAGTATCTGCAAGGCCCATGAACAAGGACCAGGGGTCCAGTCACAGGAATGAGGTTCAGAAGATTAGCAACTTTTAAGGGGCCAAGGTAGTGGATGGTAAGCAGGACACAGCCCAGAACAAGAAACAGTAGGGAAGTGGAAGAAATTATGTGATTTCATATTTGCTGTAAGTAGCTTTTGGAAATCAGTAAAGACATGTTTGCCCTCCCCTTTTCCCCCCAATAGACCCCAGTGTTTAGTACTCCCCTTTCTGTGTCCATGTGTTCTCATTTTTCATCACCCGCCTATGAGTGAGAATATGCGGTGTTTCATTTTCTGTTCTTGTGATTGTCAGTCTGCTCATTTCACTATTACATTTTCCCACAATGTCTGTACCTAAATGTTTGGCATGATTTCTGCAGTTGTTAGGTTTGGCATTCTGTATATATCCATGAAGACAGATATATGAATCCTGTTGATTAAATGCTTGCTCTCCGTACTGCTCTTTTTCTCATCTTAATCTGTTAATAATATGAGGTACATTAAGATCTCCCATGTAATATATATTTATTATTTTGATCTCAGTTTTGGCATTATATATTCTTGAAGCTGTGTTATTAGTGAGCCCTATGATAATCTTCACTTTATGCATGAGAAATCTGAGGTTTAGAAGAATTAGAAACTAGCTGTGTGTCTTACACTAATAAGTGAGAAACCTCAAATTTGCACCCAAGTCCAATTTAGAATTGTATCTCCCTGGTGAACTGAAGCTTTTATCTTTAAGGAGACACCTCTCTGTCTTTAGCAATGCTTAGTGCCTTAAAGTCCACTTTGTCGGACACAGCTACTTTCTTTTAATTCATTTTTGTGTGGTATATCTCTTTCCACCGTTTTTCTTTTTCTTTTTTTTAAATCATACTCTAGGTTCTGGGGTACATGTGCAGATTATGCAGGATTGTTGCATAGGTACACACGTGGCAATGTGGTTTGCTGCCTCCATCACCTACATCTGCCATTTCTCCCCAAGTTATCCCTACCCGACCTCCCCACCACCACCCCCCACTGTCCCTCCCTTGCCCCCCGCAACAGACCCCAATGTGTGATGTTCCTTTCCCTGTGTCCATGTGCTCTCATTGTTCAACACCCGTCTATGAATGAGAACATGGCAGTATTTTATTTTCTGTTCTTATGTCAGTTTGCTGAGAATGATGGTTTCCAGATTCATCCATGTCCTTGCAAAGGACACAAATTCATCATTTTTTATGGCTGCATAGTATTCCATGGTGTATATATGCCACATTTTCCTTGACCAGTCTATCGTCAATGAGCATTTGGGTTGGTTCCAGGTCTTTGCTATTGTAAACAGTGCTGCTACGAACATCCATGTGCATGTGTCTTTATAATTGAATGATTTTTAATCCTTTGGGTATATTCCCAGTAATGGAATTGCTGGGTCAAATGGAATTTCTGTTTCTAGGTCCTTGAGGAAGTGCCACACTCTTCCACAATGGTTGAACTAATTTACACTCCCACCAACAGTGTAAAAGTGTTCCTATTTCTCCACATCCTCTCCAGCATCTGTTGTCTCCAGATTTTTTAATGATCGCCATTCTAACTGGTGTGAGGTGGTATCTCAATGTGGTTTTGATTTGCATTTCTCTAATTCTCAGTGACAATGAGCATTTTTTCATATGTTTGTTGACCTCATGTATGTCTTCTTTTGAAAAGTGTCCGTTCATATCCTTCTCCTACTTCTGGATTGGTTTGTTTGTTTTTCTCTTGTAAATCTGTTTTAGTTCTTTGTAATCCTGGACGTTAGCCCTTTGTCAAATGAATAGATCACAAAAATTGTTTCCCATTCTGTTGGTTGCCGGTTCACTCTAATCATTGTTTCTTTTGCAGTACAGAAGCTCTGAAGTTTAATTAGGTCTCATTTGTCTATTTTGGCTTTTGTTGCCAATGCTTTTGATGTTTTAGTCATGAAATTCTTGCCCATGCCTATGTCCTGAATGGTTTTGCCTAGGCTTTCTTCTAGGGTTTTTATGGTGTTAGGTCTTATGTTTAAGTCTTTAATCCATCTGGAGCTAATTTTAGTGTAAGGTGTCAGGAAGGGGTCCAGTTTCTGCTTTCTGCACACTGCTAGCCAGTTTTCCCAGCACCATTTATTAAACAGGGTATCCTTTCCCCATTGCTTGTTTATGTCAGGTTTGTCAAAGATCAGATAGTTGTAAATGTGTGGCGTTGCCTCCAAGGCCTCTGTTCTGTTCCATTGGTCTATAACTCTGTTTTGGTACCAGTACCATGCTGTTTTGATTACTGTAGTTTTGTAGTACAGTCTGAAGTCAGGTGGTGTGATGCCTCTGGCTTTGTTCATTTTGCTTAGGATTGTCTTGCCTATGTGGGCTCTCTTTTGGTTCCATATGAAGTTTAAGGTGTTTTTTTCCAGATCTGTGAAGAAGGTCATTGGTAGCTTGATGGGGATAGCATTGAATCTATAGATTACTTTGTGAAGCATGGCCATTTCCATGATATTGATTCTTCCTAACCATGAGCATGGAATGTTTCTCCATTTGTTTGTGTCCTCTTTTATTTCCTTGAGCAGTGGTTTGTAGTTCTCCTTGAAGAGGGCCTTTACATCCTTTATTAGTTGTACTCCTAGGTATTTTATTCTCTTTGTAGCAATTGTGAATGGGAGTTTGTTGATTTGGCTCTCTGTTAGTCTGTTATTGGTGTATAGGAATGCTTGTGATTTCTGCACATTGATTTTGTATCCTGAGACTTTGCTGAAGTTGCTTATCAATTTAAGGAGATTTTGGGCTGAGATGATGGGGTCTTCTAAATATACAATCATGTCATCTGCAAATAGAGATAATTTGACTTCCTTCTTTCCTAATTGAATACACTTTATTTTTTTTTCTTGCCTGATTGCTCTGGCTATAATTTCTAATACTATATTGAATAGGAGTGGTGAGAGAGGGCATCCTTGTCTAGTGCCAGATTTCAAAGGTAATCCTTCCAGTTTTTGCCCACTCAGTGTGATATGGGCTGTAGGTTTGTTGTAAATAGCTTTTATTGTTTTGAGATATGTTCCTTCTATACCTAGTTTATTGAGAGTTTCCAGCATAAAGGGCTGTTGAATTTCGTTGAAGGCCTTCTCTGCATCTATTGAGATAATCTTGGTCTTTGTCATTGATCTGTTTATGTGATGGATTACTTTTATGGACTGACATATGTTGAACCAGCCTTGCATCCCTGGAATGAAGCCTACTTTATCGTGATGGATAAGCTTTTTATTGTGCTGTTGCAATCAGTCTGCCACTATTTTATTGAAGATTTTTGCATCTATGTTCATCATGGATATTGGCCTGAAGTTTCCTTTTCTTGTTGAGTCTCTGCCAGATTTTGGCATCAAGATGATGTTATTAGTTTCATAAAATGATTTGAGAAGTATTCCCTCTTTCTGAATTGCTTGGAATAGTTTCAGAAGGAATGGTACCAGCT